GCATTAATATAGCGTAACACACATAAACAATGTATAGGTAAGGTTATTTATATCCAGTGTTCATTTATCATCAGTATATTATTGTCACAATTGAGAAAAAAAAAACACATTAAGACGTAGTTATCCGCGTAAAACATCAAATTATACCGAGTTCGCACAGAAAACACAATAAATGTGTTATTATAAGAAAGAAACTTGAATTTGCCCAATCCTCAAGAATTCCTCCAGATCTAGTGATTTTTCATGAGAGGATTACATAATAATAATGCAATCTCGTTGAAGATTAAGGGTCGACAGGTCGGTCGGCCAAACTCCGAATTGATGTTGGAGACCTCGCGCGGTGACAACGCGAAACTCCGATTTCAGTGTTGCCAACGCCGAGAAACCAATTCTCGGGTTTTATGTAGTGGTGCATGTCTGTACACGTACATACACCATTGCATTGCTCACGCGGACGCACCGTAGAGAGACAAGGACCGATAATCACGTGTTCTCCTTGTTCCTCTACCGTGCCGGTATACGCGAGATGCCGCCTGAAAATGCTTTCTGGCCTTCCGTAGCAGAAGGCAGTAGCGTAGCAAGGCTAATAAGTACCTACTTTTTATAAATTTTATATATCCTTATGCACATATGTGCGTATATATATATATATATATATATATATATATATATATATATTATATAAGGGATATGTTGATTATTCTTGATTTCTTTTTGATTATTGATGCTATTGTATAATTTGCTCCAATAACTTATAACGTGAAAGAACGTACCGTTGAGTAATATATAATCAATGCAAGGATGTTCAGTATATCATCCAGTAAATTAGAGTTCAAATATATCAATATCAATTTTTTTATAATACAATATATATATATATATATATATATATATATATATGGAATATAGAAAAATGATAAAATATATTTCGGCGATTTAAAAATTTTTTAATATATTGAAAATATTTTTACTACATATATATAAGTGTAAAATAATTCAGAAAATAAATTTAATAAAAATCTACATACCAGCTGTGTGCATGTGTGCAATTGATTTATTGAAATTTATTTACGGAAGTATTTTGCATTTATATATTTATAGTGTGTGTAGTTGTAAAATGATTAAAATATTTTCAATATCAAATTTTTAAGTTTATCGCCTATATAAAAATATATTTCTATGATTTTCTATATTCTAATATATTATAAAAAAATTGATATTGATATATTTGAACTCAAGTTTTTTACGTGATTAAATATTCTTGCATTGAGCCATCATACGTTACTCGTAAGTTCTTTCATATCTGTATATATATATATATATATATATATATATATATATATATATATATACATATATATATATATATATATAATATTCATTTATTTATAAAATACATTTTTAATTCATATTCAACCTGAATGATATTTTCTATATGTTTATGCTATCCTCCGATCTATCCCTAACAAATTAGGAGGTGTAATTGCATTATTATCATCAATTATTATCTTATATTTTTTACCTCTAATTTCTATAAAATTTAATTCATTATCATTTTATCCTTTAAATCAATATTTATTTTGAATTTTCATTAATATTTTTATTCTATTAACATGAGCAGGAGCTCAACCTTTTATCATTATTAGACAAATTTTATCATTATGTTACTTTCTTTATTTTATCTTATTACCTTTCCTAATAAAAATTTGAGATTTAATTATTTTTAAATAAATATTTTAAAATTATTATTATAAATAAATTTAAAATATTAAAAATAATTATATTTAATATTTAAATTTTTTATAAATTACTATTAAATTAAGTTAATAATCTTGAATTTAAGTTTATGTTTTGAAAACATATTAAAGAAATTTTAATTTTCTATTAACTTTTAAACATTTAATTTTTTTTACTAAATTATTATTAATAATATAAATTTAAATCCAAAAATTAATAAAATATAAACCAAAATTATTGGTAAAATAATTTTCCAACATAAATATATTAATTTATCATATTGTATTCGAGGAAGTATTCCATGTATAAAAATTACTATTCTACATAAAATATTAATTAAAATAAAAGTTAAAATTATTGAATATTTTAATAAATTCCTAAATATATAAATTCTAATTAATCTAAAAAAATAATTATTCCATATTCAGATAAAAAAATTAATGTAAACCCACCCCTAAAATATTCAATATTAAATCATCTGACTCACTTTCGATAAAATCTATAGGACTTCGATTTAATTCAGCTAAAATCCTAATAAACACTATAATAAACAAAGGATATAAAACTACTATATATCATAAATAAAATTGATAATTAATAAAATCAAAAAAAGAATATCTCTCTCTTATTAATATAATAACTAAAATAATTAAAATAAATCTTACTTCATATGATAATATTTGTGAAACTGATCGTATTGCTCCTATTATTGAATAAATCGAATTAGCTGATCATCCCATAAAAATTATAACATACCCTCTAATAGTTATAAAAACAATTATTAATAAAATAGAATAATTTAAAAAATAAATATTAGTAATGTAAGGAAATACTAATCATATTATTATTAAAACAAATCTAATTATAGGACATAAATAAAAAAAATTATAATTAGATTTATATACATAAAATAATTCTTTATTAAGTAATTTAATAGCATCACTAAAAGATTGAAATAATCCTATAAATCCCACCTTATTAGGTTCTTTACGAATTTGTACATATCTTAAAATTTTTCGTTCCAATAAAGTTAAAAAAGCTACCCCAACTAATATAATTAATAACAAAATTAACAATCTTAATATATTTAACGCACTATAAAAATATAATCTTAAATTTTGACAAATTATTACTTGTATAACTTTTTTCTATTATACATCATTAAAATTCTAAATTTAATACACTTAAATTTTGCCAAAGTAATTTTATTTATTTACATATATTTGATCAATTAAATTTATTCATTAAAAAAAATATAATTTAAAAAAAAGTCCTTTTGTACAAAATTTTCTTAATTTTATTATAGATAGAAACCGATCTGGCTTACACCGATCTGAACTCAAATCATGTAAAATTTTATTAGTCGAACAGACTAAAATATTAAACTTCTTTATTTAATTTTTATTTTAATTCAACATCGAGGTCGCAATCATTTTTATTAATATGATCTTTCTAAAAATATTACGCTATTATCCCTAAGGTAATTAATTTTTATAATTATTATAAAAAAAAAAAATTTTCTTAATTTAATAATCAATCCTTTATAAAAATTTCATTAATTAATGTTAAAATTATCTTTAAATTAAAGTTCATTTTATTTAATTATCCTCCCAATAAAATATAATCATTAAAATAAAATTTATTTCCTTAAATAAAAAAATTATATTAATTTAATAGGGTCTTCTCGTCCCATAATTTCTTTTAAGAATTTTAACTTAAAATTTAAATTTTAAATCTACAAATTAAAACAGCTTTAATCAATTCCTTCATTCCAGTTTTCATTTAAAAAACAATTGATTATGCTATCTTTGCACCGTCAATATACTGCGGCTATTTAAAAATCACTGAGCAGAAATAATTTTAAATTATTATCAAAAAACCATGTTTTTGTTAAACAAGTAAATTAATGAAAATTAATGTGTATATGCATTACAATATATTCAATACAATATTCTCTTAATTTGAACGAAAATTATAAATAACTTATGCGTAACATATATTTTTGGACTCCTAAATAAAAATATATTATATTATTTGCAAAAAATAAGATGAAATATTTTTTATTCGAATAGTCTCAACTGCTCTTTTAGCTGAATGTTTAGAAGCAATGAAAAAAATCGAGGATCTACGAAAAATTTAAGTACATTTCTAAGATTTTTTTATATGATATAAAAAAATATATGGTATATAAATTGATTTTTAATTTTTTTATTAATTTTTAATTACACACACACACACACACAAATAGATTCTTATTATTTAAAATAGTTTTTATTTTTGTTCTTTATTTACATATGCATACATATACAAAAAAATAAAAATAATATGATAGCCTTTTTGCTGACATTATCTCTCAATATTTGCATCCGTGTGCTCACGTATTAGTTTTTGTACCTACATGGACGCTACTACATATGCGATGTAAGAGAGACAAAGATGGAATGATGCTCTCTCCTTGTCAAGCAGTCAGCATGTTACCACAGAAATTTCCCCTGCTCCTTATGAATCTAGTGAGAATCTTATCGTCCAGATATTTCATAAAATAAGTGACATAACTTCGTGAATTTTTTTTTAATATATTCTTTATATAATAAAGCAGTCCTCTAAAAGGCCGGATTTTACATTTTCGCTCTTAAAAATTTATAATAAATAAAATACGGACTCGCGGCTAACCCAACCTTACCCGTTCCTAGCTGTGCATTCCCCCAAGTTTATTAAAAATTTTTATTTTTATCTTTTTTTCATAAAATAGCTCTTTAGAGGACTACAAATGAGCTTACTGATTAAGAATATCCTAAATTTAATAAGATTCATTCAATATTTTCGCTAATATCTGGAAAATAAGAATCCGTAATTCCCGGCCGGCCGATAGGCGTCTCCACCATGTCGCCTGTCGACCCTTAACAAAAGTTCATTATTCAACTATAATTAAAGCACTGGTTCGTTTTATCAATTTTAGTCACTTGAATTTATATATATTTAAATTTTAACAAAATATTCGTATAGCACAATTATTTAAGTAAAGTCAATTTAATTATACAATAATATGATGTTTTAATATATAAAATCATTCAATTAATAAAGAAAACACAAAATTACATGATTTAGTAATTTAACACTAGATCTAGTAACTTTGGACAAAACCGTATAAGGCACATCGAGTTGCATGTCTATGTCATGGTTCATGACTGTTGGTGACTTTGGGTACGGGGTTCACACACGATGCAATAGATGGCGCGTCGATGTCCATTTGCCGCAATTTATATTCCCGAGAGAGGAAAACACTCTTGGGAGAGAGAAACATAACCCCAATTGTTGCAAAATGTCATTCAACGATGTAACAGTTCCAGATGTGAGAGCTTAAGCAATAATACGGTTCCAAGTTGTACAAATGGACAAAAATAACCGTACAAGTGCAAGGTAATGTTAACTTTAAGTTATTAATAATAATATTAATATTAATAATGTAACGTCTGAAAAATCACTTATATATATACTAATAAGATTAAATTAGCGAGAGTCAAGCTTCATCAGCATTATTAGGTACAGTATGTCCATTACTAATTAATTAGTTAATTGTCAATATATGCCCAATGAATATTTATATAAATTTTATAATATTGACAATATTAAAGTCATATAAGCCTATATACATATGTGTATCTTAACGTGTATTAACCAGGCTTATCAATACACAGCAATCTCCGCACTCAACAGAACAGTGAGCACTTCATCCTAATACAGAGGATAACCTCCAAAAGGATAACTCATAACACAAGATGCAAGTGTCTGTTGCCAAATCAATTGGGTTGTTGCCACAATATTGTCAACACTATTATACACTCAACAAGAAAAGTAAGTAATTGAAATTATTATTCCAATATTGAAATTTAACATAAGATTATTAATTAGTCAATTATAGTTGTTATTAATTGCAAAAGTTGTCTTAATTTTAGCCAGTCGAGGCAGGCGTGCCTCATATAGAGAAGCACATATTTCTCATAAAATTAATATAAATTCAAAGTATTCGATTATTGTTTAGCTCAAGAAGTCTATATAATTATATTTGTTATATATCAGAATTGGAAGAATTCTAATTATAGTATCCTTAAAGCACAGTTATAGGTTACAACTAGCTGATCACAGATTAAGTGTATATAAATTTACAACAGTCCATTAACAAACAACTTCAATTAATGTTCGTTAAAGAATTACACATTTATGTGTAAACGACTCCACAAATTATTGCTCATCAGTCCTTTATCATTGTATATGTACTAATTTCACTTATCTTTTAGAGAGCGGAAGAGAACTTCAAGGTTGCGAGGGCTCCACATAAGGTTGACGTAGACCACCAGCAAACCCCAGAGTCTCAGTACATCCGCAGTAACAATGTCTTCAGGAAGAAAAGTCTAGACGCCTCCGAAAAGCACCTCTGCATTAGTTGACACATATAGAAGGCTTCATTCACTTCCAATCACAGGTATTCATCAATAAATGTGGACGTAGGCGCACTTATTTATCACTGATTATTAGAATTCTAGTATTGTAAAACAGTACTTGTAACCCGTAAGACATTTATCACTTAAATTTGACAAACTAAGTACAGCTAGTTTGAGACAGATTATTGAGACAAAACTATTATTCTGCTACAGGTTATAGAATATCAATGTCAAGGCATGATCACCTATATCAGTGTATCTTATGGACTGTATCAAGATGATGTTTATCGTATAAAGTAATGTTATTATCAGATTTTAGTAAGTATTAATTATTACCAAATAATAAGAATTGGAAAAATTGTAGCAGACAATTATTTCACTACAAGTTATATTGTAGTGATTTAAGTCTTATAGAAAATATTCTATTTATTTATTAAGATTGTGCTCAGTGACCGATTTATTCACTTTATCATTTCAGATGGACACAAAGTATATAGTGCCATAATAAATTGACACCCCAATATAATATCCAGTCGAACTGAAAATTATAAGGACTCAAAAACAAAAAGGAAATAGTATTTTATAGGCAGCGGGTCACACAATTCACTATAATTCATAGTCTATTGTCTTCCGCGGATGTTTAGACACCAGAATATTTACAATACTAAATTATTTGGATTATAGTTTCCAAACTTTATTAAAGGTATGTTAATTATAGGTAATACCTATTAACCACTTGTAACAAACAATATTAAGATTTGTTAAAATATGTATATAAGTCTAAATATATTGTATTGAAGTTCACACAAGGATCATGAAATTATCATTGATTTCCATGCCTTTTATATGTTATTCTTCATTCATCATCTTCTATAAGTGTTCAGTTGTCGAATTAATTACTTGATTAGTTAAACGTAAATAGAAATTATCTGTTATCTAATTAATACAAAATGTTTGTACTTCCGGTTTAATAGTTCAGGATCATAAACTGTACACTAGTTAATAATTTCCAGACTTATAAAGTATTTTGTATTATTTGCTAGTTATAATATAAATTGTTTATTTAACAATTTTAATATTTCAGATTGTGAAAAAATAGAGTGCAAGATGTCAAAAACAATTCCATATCCAGCTATATCATGCCATATGGCCGAGCATTACGAAGACTCAATAACACTGACAAAATAGAATTCTATGGACAGTCTGATCACGCACTTAACTACAAAGTATTCAATCATCAAAATGGATGTGACTTGTTGATTAGCTAGACACGAATGTAATATAGTATATCTGATGTCCTGTTAATACCAAATGTTTGTTATTCAGATTTTTATCACTCAAATCATAAGCAACGCGTTAGGAATTGATTTCCGTTTTCACAAGACAATTATTTTCATGTATATAAAGTCTTTACTCAGATGTATTAATCAACTCCTTGTTATTGTTTCAGATTGCAAAGGCAAAGTGAATTGCCCATAAATAATTATGCATGAAGTGCATAGAAAACCATTGAGCTGGTCATTATGAGATTCAGAGTCAATACTGGTGGGCAATAGGATCACGCCCTACATAAGCACACAAAAGCACTTTCCGGTATCATCGGGGTATAAATTTTCACTAATGGTAAATAGAATTATCTTGTAGGGAACAAAAGCAAATGTTTCCACCACTAGATTATTTGAATAAAAACTTTTATTTCTCACAGGAGATATATTGATTAATTAATCAATCTCACTGTAAATAGTCAATTACTAATTTAACTTTTAATATCACTCCATAATTTACTATTTAATATTATATGTATCTTTAAAGTCAATACTTTAGATTATTTCCATATATATAAAGTCTTCCTTCATTAACACACAGAAGCACTTTACGACATCGCCAAGATATAGATTCTCAATAAAGGTAAATCATAGTATCCTGTAGAGAACAAAAAGCAGTGTTTCCACCACTAGATTATTTAAATAACAACTTTATTTAACACAGGAGATATATTGATCAATTAATCAATCTCACTGTAAATAGTCAATTACTAATTTGACTTCCATAGTTCACTTCTTAATATCATATGTATCTTTAAAGTCAATTTTAGATTAATAATAATAGAATCAACAAAACTAAACTTTTTTCTTCTTCTCTATTGTAGATGAAAAGGCGATTATTACATCACTCAGAAGAAAGAAGGAAGTAACAAGGCACACATGATCCATCCTACTAATGTTATAGCGATAGACAAAATCCCAGCTAATTTACACATTATGTGTCGAAAATAATATTAGGTTTTCACTTATGTTATTATCAGATTTTAGTAAGTATTAATTGTTACCAAATAATAAGAATTGGAATAATTGTAGCAGACAATTATTTTACTACAAGTTATATTGTAGTGATTTAAGTCTTATAGAAAATATTCTATTTATTTATTAAGATTGTTCTCAGTGACCGATTTATTCACTTTATCATTTCAGGTGGACACAAAGTATATAGTGCCATAATAAATTGACACCCCAATATAATATCCAGTCGAACTGAAAATTGTAAGGACTCAAAAACAAAAAGGAAATAGTATTTTATAGGCAGCGGATCACACAATTCACTATAATTCATAGTCTATTGTCTTCCGTGGATGTTTAGACACCAGAATATTTACACTACTAAATTATTTGGATTATAGTTCCCAAACTTTATTAAAGGTATGTTAATTATAGGTAATACCTATTAGCCACTCGTAACAAACAATATTAAGATTTGTTAAAATATTTATGTAAGTCTAAATATATTGTATTGGAGTCCACACAAGGATCATGAAATTATTATTGATTTCCATGCCTTTTATATATTATTCTTTATTCATCATCTTCTATAGGTGTTCAATTATTGAATTAATTACTTGATTAGTTAAACGTAAATGAAAATTATCTGTTATCTAATTAATACCAAATGTTTGTACTTCCGGTTTAATAGTTCAGGATCATAAACTGTACACTGGTTAATAATTTCCAGATTTATAAAGTATTTTGTATTATTTGGCTAGTTATAATATAAATTGTTTATTTAACAATTTTAATGTTTCAGTTTGTGAAAAATAGAGTGCAAGATGTCAAAACAAATTCCATATCCAGCTATATCATGCCGTAGGGCCGAGCATTACGAAGACTCACTGACAAAATAGAATTCTATGAGCAGCCTGATCACGCACTTAACTACAAAAATTATTCAATCATCAAAATGGATGTGACTTGTTGATTAGCTAGACATGAGTGTAATATAGTATATCTAATGTCCTGTTAATACTAAATGTTAGTTATTCAGATTTTATCACTCAAATCATAAGCAAAGCATTAGGAATTGATTTCCGTTTTCACGAGACAATTATTTCCATATATATAAAGTCTTTACTCAGATGTATTAATCAACTCCTTTGTTATTGTTTCAGATTGCAAGGCAAAGTGAATTGCCCATAAATAATTATGCATGAAGTGCATAAAAACATTGAGCTGATCATTATGAGATTCAGAGTCAATATTGGTGGGCAACAGGACTACGCCCTGCATTAGCACACAAAAGCACTTTCCGGTATCGTCGGGGTATAAATTCTCACTAATGGTAAATAATAGTATCTTGTAGAGAACAAAAGAAATGTTTCCACCACTAGATTATTTGAATAAAACTTTTATTTCTCACAGGAGATATATGATTAATTAATCGATCACACTGTAAATAGTCAATTACTAGTTTAACTTTAATTTCACTCCATAATTTACTATTTAATATTATATGTATCTTTAAGGTCAATACGTTAGATTATTTCCATATATATAAAGTCTTCCTTTATTAACACACAGAAGCACTCAACGATATCGCCAATATATAGATTCTCAATAAAGGTAAATCATAGTATCTTGTAGGGAACAAAAAGCAGCGTTTTCACCACTAGATTGTTTAAATAACAACTTTATTTATCACAGGAGATATATTGATCAATTAATCAATCTCACTGTAAATAGTCAATTACTAATTTGACTTCCATAGTTCACCTCTTAATATTATATATATCTTTAGAGTCAATTTAGATTAATAATAATAGAATCAACAAAACAACACTAAACTTTTCTTCTTCTCTATTGTAGATGAAAGGCGATTATTACGCCGCTCAGAAGAAAGAAGGAAGCAACAAGGCATACATGATTCATCCTACTAATGTTATAGCAATAGACAAAATCCCAGCGATTTACGCATTATGCGTCGAAGATAATATTAGGTTTTCACTTAAATCACATTTATTATATATTTATCATATATTATTAATTAATTAGATAAAACACTGTAAATCAGCTAAAAGCTTTATACTGTATTTACTTTTAGTACGTTTATAAGACTATAATGCACAGGTTAATTTATATTACTAGTTTATTATATGATAAGTATTCAAAATTTATTGAATTATAGTATCTGCGAAACCAAATCATGTATATTTGATTTCAGTAAGTTCCCTCTTTTAAACTTAGCATAGTTTGCTTAATATTATCTATTTGTTAAGACACTTATAAGTCCATTATCCCAATATCATATCAATTATATTATGTATAACCAAATTAAATTGTTATTGTTTATAACACAACAGCAAGTGTTGGTTATTTATTAGACAATGACTAGCCGAGACTTCACTTTTATTAATAATATATTAGTTATTAATAATTACTTATAGTGTAATTCAAAAGCACACAGTTCAGTAATTATATAGAGTATTGTAGGATTATAAATATTTGACGATTCAACAGCTAGTGTTGATTTTTATTCATCAAAAACTAGTCAAAAACTTCACTTTATTAATATTATTTAATAAGACACTTGTTATATAGTTCAAAATTACGCGGTTTAATGTTATCAGCCAATTATGGCTTGCCAGCACATATCCAGCAAGCTGCCAACCCACCTGAACACGCGCGCACTGCGCAGATCATATGCGCCGTATAATCTCAACGCCACGTGCTAATTTAATAATTTCTTTAAATTAAGTCTAATTGACCAATTAAGATGATTTGTATATGCACTATGCTATTGTAGCTATGATAACAGTATTGATAAGTCAAAGAAAAAAGGCAGTATCCTTAATAATCAAATTAAAATAACACATTTCAAACGACCATAGCCATAAATAACCAGGCCAATAATATGTCGCCAACAATTGTAGAGGCAATGTGGCCAACTCAGAATTGAACGCGCGAGCGCATTGATCTAGAGAGAAAATTTGTTGATTTTATAAAGCTAATTCAACAATAACCGGAATGATTTCAACAATTGTCAATCACAAAATAACTTCTTGCCGTCATAAGGAACTTATATAAAATATTCACTTTACCGTGAAAAATCCAGATTGGGCTGTTGGAGGCTCCAAAAATATTTGACAGTTTTGCCCCTAGTGCAACAAGGATAGCAATAGTCCAAGATTTTAGCTGCCTTTTATAATTAAACTAACAAGTTTTCACTATCAGAATTTCACTGAACGTTGACAAATGACAGCAACAATACATTAAAAATGTATTCACATGTGAGAGAAATATGTATCCAGTGGCGGATTAAGCATTTTGCCGCCCCTAGGCAGCGTACATTTTGCCGCCCCTAAAAGCAAAAAAAAAAAAAAAGATTTAGTACAAAATATCAACAATTTTCTGTTACCCCTGCATTAGCTGGTGAAAACGTAATATATTTTTAAATATTTTCACGACCCCAGAGTGCACCACGAGGAGGTTTGCAGATAGGATTTTACACTCCTTTTTTTACTTTCTTTATTTTTTTTTACTTTTTTATTTTTATTTCTTTTTTTATTTTTGTTCTTTTTATCTTTTCTTGTATTTTTAATTTTTTTTATTCTTCTTTTTTATATTTTATATATTTTTTTAATTTTATTTCTTTTTATCTTTTTTACTATATTTTTGTTAGTTACTTGTTTTTATTGTAATTGTTTCTTTCTACACTTCTTTGCTACAAAGTCACTGATTAATTTCTTAAAATCTGTTGAGATTGTTAGATCACTTTCAATTGTCAGAATAGAAAAATTATTTAATTGGTCATCAACCAAACTAGTCCTTAAACAGTTTTTAATTCTTTTTAACGTGGAAAATGACCGTTCGGAAGAGCAGTTTGTAGCCGGCGTGCAGACAAATATTCGACAAGCTATATCGACATTTGGATATATAGAATGTATATTTCGAGTTCGAAGAAGTTTATTATAACTTAAAAGGGAATGTCTTTTATTTTCGAGTATATTGGTACTTTCCAAATACGCTCGAAAATGTAGGCATTCGTCAACAAACGATTCTTCTAAATCTAAAGGGTAATACTGTTGTAATTTTTTAGCCTTATTTATTAAATCCGCAGTTGATATCGAAGTAATTTTAGATAACCATTCAAATCTTTCAAAAATATCTTTATATGCATTACCTCTACGTTCTAATTCTGAACTTATACGGTCTATTATAACAAAAAATGTATCTCGTCTAAACTGTTCTTTACCACAGATTTGTGACATTTCTGTTTCAATTTCCGATATCTCATCAAATGGAAGTTTACGCTTTCTTTTTCGTCTTGTGTCGAATTCATAATCTTCGACTTCAGATTTTTCCTTTGCTTTCTCTTCAAACATATCAAATAAATTTCGTAGTGAATTAATGTATCCTGTTAATGAACTATAAAGTTCCACAACTGTTTGTATGTCAATATCAACACTTTGCAATTTTTTGCTAGTTATTTGAAATCGATCCATTATTGAGTTCCAAAATACAGCCATAAAGACAGTTTCAAATCGACTCATTTGTTTCAATAGTCCTGCAGCTTCACTACGAGTAGCCGGTTTCTCGGCAGTATTTAAATTTATTGTATTTAAAGCTTTAATTATGGAATCCCAGTTTTCAACTAAACTGCGAGAAGCTTCCGCTCGAGATGACCATCGAGTATCAGACATTCTTTTTATTACTATATTGCCTGGTTTTAAAGTGGATAACAATATCTCCCACCGGTGAGTTGACGCAGAAAAAAATGTGTAAAGATGCTGGAGAATTGAAAAAAAATTACATGCTTCATGACAACTTTCTGCTGCGCATACGCCAATCAAATTTAAAGAATGCGCAGAACATGGCACGTATAGCGCATATTGATTTTTATTTTTTATTCTTGCTTGCAATCCATTATATCTGCCAGACATGTTACTGGCATTATCATAGGACTGCCCTCGGCAGTTGGCAATGTCCAAATCATAATTAAGTAACGTAGAAAAGACAGCATCAGCTAATTGTTCAGATTTATGACCAGTATTTGGTAAAAAACAAAGAAAACGTTCTACCGGCATACCATCATTGTCGTTTACATATCTTAATATAAAAGATAATTGATCAATATGCGATATATCGGGAGTTGAATCAACGCTAATTGAAAAATATTTGGCTTTCTTTACTTCTGTAATAATTTGTGCACGCACTTCTGTTGCCATCAATTGTACAAATTCATTGCACGTTTGAAAAGAAAGATAAGAGACTACCCCGCGACCTGCATTTCCATATTTTTTTATATGGTTAGCTAAAAATGGATCAAATTCCGCTATAAGTTCAATTGCCATCATGTAGTTACCATTATGAAGTGACCCAAATTTTTCATCCTTGCCTCGAAAAGCAAGTCCTCTACTCGAAAGTTTTTTCACAACTGACACAACTCTTTTCAATACATTTGTCCAATAATTTATTTCTTCTTGCAATTGAAATTCTAAATCAGCATCAATTCTCTCAGAAATCTTACTTCTTTTTAGCATTTTAAGTTCACATGTTTTGTGCTTAGTTGAATTTTCATGTTCGCGCATTCGAACGAAGACATTTTTCCAGTCATTGTAACCATTCGTTGCCAGACTGGAGGTTCCTCCAAATAATCTACACGGGGCACAGAACACAACTCCCTTGCTTTCTGAATATATAAGATATTTTCTAGGCATTATCTCACCATTTAGAAGACGCCGCTCAAAAACATTTTTTGTTAAAGTACGACTTATATTACCATAATATCTTTTAGAATTCCCAAAATCGACATCTATATTTTGTTGAATATTATGTGTGGATAAGTATTCAATTGTAAAATCATTCAATATCCACTTTGCTGAATCATTACTAATTATCGGAAATACTTCTTTGTTTTGAATTTCTGAATTATACGATTCATAATTTTCTGTAATTTCATGTGATATATCCACGTCTATGCAATCGTTTTCTGAATTACGCGATTCATTATTATTCGTAATTTCGTGTGATTTATTTACGTCCATGCAATCGTTCTCGGAAGTACTGGAAGTAGTGGTAGTCTCTGATGTGCTTGCAACTAGAAGATCAGTTTTGTTAATATTAACTATTGTCATAACGTTTTTACTAGGTTCAACGTATTTATCATTACTACTATTTGTAACTTTAGAATCATTTTCAGATAAAACAAATGAATCTAATTTGCGCATTTTAGATAAGACCTCATTTTCGCGCTCTTTCTTAATTAATGCATTTTTTTTATATTGATATCCACTTAATTTCTTCCTTCCGGACATATTTATAAATATTTTAACCCGCCAAATTCGGGTCGTCTCAAGTTAAAATTTTTAACTGTCCAGAAACCAGAAACGAAAAACTCAAAATCTTGAAAAAATGAAAACTATATTAGAGTGATCTACTATAACTTTGCAACTTCGCAATTTTCAGAGAAAATATCTTATGACAATAAAGGCTTATGAATAATAATCCAGAATCATTGAGGAAGCGCAGGAAGCCTCGTTAATAAATTAAAAATTGAAAGAAGGCATGCAGAAATATCGAAAATATCGATGTTTTAAATAACAACCAATGTTCTGCGGCGAACTAAATGATATATGTCTCGCGGCGGCAAATTATTGCAGTAGGAGTAGAAAGACAAGGAAGAGTAGGAATCGGTCGCGCTGATCGCGCGTCGCATTACAACAATGCTCGGAATTAAAATGAGCGTCGCTTCGTCGCTCGTCGCCTAATATCTCCCCACTACCGCCTACCGCTCGAGGCTTGAACCGGTCGTCAATGGCTGCGTTCAGCAGACAGAGGCGACAGAGCAGATCAGTTAGCGCTCAGTGATTCTTTAATATAATTGGTTCTTGCATTTAGATTTTTGTTAGATCTAAGTGCAGAAACCAATTACAATAAAGAATCACTAAGCGCTCATTGATCTGCTCTGTCTGCTGAACGCAGCCATTGGTATTGGTAGAGTCGTCATCGGCTCGGCCGTCGAGCCTCAAGCGGCCAGAGGCGGCGAAAATTTTCTGTCTTCGAAAATTTGCCGCCCCCTCCAATTTGCCGCCCTAGGCAAATGCCGATGTTTGCCTCTAGTGTTAATTCGCCCCTGTATGTATCACCGTAAAAGTAAACTTTTACTCCAGATCCATAGGAGTGAGAGAGACAGCGACAATCA